CCCCCCCCCCGCCCCCCCCCCGCCCCCCTTGTTCCCTGTGTGGTCTATCCGAGTGGGTGGAAGACGCGGGGGAAGTGAGCTTGTCCAACCAAACCCACCATTTGAATGAAGGCGGCGTATGCATCTTTTATCCAAAAACGTTTGTTTGGGGGCGAAGGGGAGGGGGGGGGCGGCGGGGGAAAAGGGGGAAAAGCGGAAGTAGGGGCGGCGGGGGCTGGAAAGGCCCTAGAGGCAAAAACGGTTTTGTCGTGTTCAGACGCTGCCATAGTTTTCGGGGCGATCGAGGAAACGACGAGAGGAGGTAACAGGCAGTCGCCGCACAGACGGAGGTGGTGCCGCACATAGTCGCACATGGATCAGTCACCCAAACACTGCGAGAGGCGACACTCTCTGGGAGGGAGTCGCACAGAGCCGTGCTGACGTTCCGTCAAGGGGCAGGGGACAATGGTGGCGGCTCAAATGCGTGATCTCCGCACAAATTGATTGATTCCCCGGCCAAACACAACGCACCCCCCCACGTCAGCATGAATGTGAAAAAAATATCAGACCGGGGAAGACGGCAACTTGTATTCTTTTTTTTTTTTCTTTTTTTTTTAAATTTGGACCATTTCTCGATTTATGCGTGTCATCCTTGCGCAGGGGCCATGCTAATCTTCTTCTTTCTCTGTATCGTTCCAATTTTAACGGATGTCCCGAAGGACAGGCAACTTGTATTCGTTCAGTTCAGCCATGATTAATTATGGGCGACAGCCGGGATGGAGGGCTTACACAGGGGCTTTCACCAAAAAAAAAAAAAAAAAAAAAGATTAATTATGGGCGGCGTCTTGTCCGGGGGGCAGAGGAGGAGGAGGAGGAGGGTAGTACCTTTGAATAAGGGCCAGATCCCACTAGCCCCTATTGTTCATTTCTGACCGTTGATCTTCGTAATCGAGGGTGAAAAATGAATAATCCAGGGTAGTGGGATCTGACCCTAAGTCCCGTTGGACATGGTCACGGGTTATGGACTGGGGGCCTCGTTCGCAACACCACGCTCGAAATGTGAAAATGAAAATGAAAAAGACAAATGTGGCGGGTGCATCTGGCCATGTTTTAGCGGGAAGTTCCAAGCCCAAAGGCTGCGGTATACCATGGGGTGAAACGGTCTGGTGAGTTGTACGGTCTGGTGAGTTGTAAAGGCTGCGGTATTCCCAGTGTGTACGAGACAGCCTTTCCTTTTTCTGAATATATTGTTATTAGAACGAGTAGGAAATTTGCCTCTGTACCCCACTTAAAGATGGGAATACAGGCGAGGTACCAGTCCCAGTGCCAACTTGCATCTATACCCGCCCGAAAGGCGGCTGATGGAAATTATTTGTATGCCCAGGATCAAGGTGGATGCAGGTTGGTACCGGAAAATTGCAGTTGCCCAGTGTTTTAAACCACCAATACTGTCCTTCGGGACATCCGTTAAAATTGGAACGATACAGAGTAGAGTAGCATGGCCCCTGCGCGAGGATGACACACATAAATCGAGAAATGGTCCAAATTTTTCAAAAAAAAAAAAAAAAAAAAAAACCACCAATACTTGGCCCAGCTATCGGCCGCGGGAAAAAATAGAGTAGAAACGTTTCTGTGGGATGAATTTGGGCGCTCCTGTTTTAGTCCGTACAGTTCCTAAAATCTTGGTGCCCACGACTCTAGGAAGTACTGCAGTGGTTTAATTATTTGTATGCCCAGGATCAAGGTGGATGCAGGTTGGTACCGCAAAATTGCGGTCGCCCAGCGCGTTGCGGCTGGTTTACGTCTGCGGCTGCGGGAAGTATTGGTGTTTTAAAGATGGGAATACAGGCTATACCCAGTCCTGCAGTCTTCCCCCGAATACAACGTACGGTCAGTATAGCTGAATTTGGCGTATCTTTCGGTCTAAATTCAGCTATAATGACGAAGACTGTAGCACGGACTTGCAACTATACCTGGAAAGCGGCTGGTGGACATTATTTGTATGCCCAGGATGGAGGTGGACCCAGGTTTGTACCGCAAAATTGGGGGATAACCAACTGGAGGAATGCACAAATTATGGACATACCCCGGCAAAATTATGGGCACTGGGGTGGAAATGATTTGTATGCCCAGAATAGAGGTTGGATGGACCCAGGTTGGAACTGCAAAATTGTGGTTATAACCAACTGCCGGAAGGGTCAAATTACCCGGGACGGGGGTGGACTGGCCCAATTATTCCTAGGCCCTTCGACCGGAAGGCTGAAATGTTCATACCCAGGAGCTGGAGGGAATCGGCATAATTCCGCGGTCGCCATCCAAGGCCTGCCATTGGGTGAAGGGAGAACATGTAAGTGACTAGAGGAGCACATGATCCCCGTAATAGAATTGAAGCGAAGGCATGGTGCCAGAATAAAATTGATTCTTAAACCACCAGTGCACGGCCCCAGCCTTGCTGAAAGGAAAATGGTCGCCCATCCGAAAAAGTCGGGGCAGGGCAACCATTGATGAATTCCATCGGCAGCCTTTGTCGCGTTTCGGCCTCTGAATGCGGCCCGCGGCCAATGTATGCAGTGTACTGGTGGTTTAAGCTTTTGTTTTCCCTTTGAACCACGTGTGCCAGTGAGGCCATCTTTTCTCCGGGATACCATGAGGCCCGTTATTTTGATGTACTGGCATGTCTGTTGCCGATTAAATGCTTTTGATGGTTTCTTCTGGTGAAAATCGCCATGTGGTGTTGTTGGTTTAAGATGAGCACATGAGCCTAGGCATGACACAGTGCTCATTTTTCTCTGCTTGGGTTGATTGTGGCTTCGGGCAAAATATATGCCCGTTTAATCCTGTTTTTGATACAAGGCCATGTGGTTTACCTCTGAGCATCTGCATTGTCGGCCACAGTGCGAATGGTGTTGTCATTTCAACTTATCGTGTAGTAAGGTCTTATGATCATTAAATGATGTTTTCTCATTGGTATATTGGAAATGTGGGTCCAGGACGTAAGGTCTTATAATCATTAAATGATGTTTTCTCATTGGTATATTGGAAATGTGGGTCCAGGACGTCAGCTGTTCCAGCAGCGCTTGCGGCTTGTGGGAGGTCAGGTCCTCGTGCAGTTAGTATGGAGCGATGCTTCAAGCTGGGGGCATCTTCAGCGGGAGACGTACTGAGAGCAGGCTCCGTTCCCGGCTCCCGTTTGAGGTATGTTTGACGGCAATTTAATTTGTATTTCTGTTTGGGAGAAGAAAACTTGCTCCTGCTTATTGTTGGTGCATTCATGCCCTGTATGAAGCATGCTATGAAGGATGCCGATCTCTCCAGACCTCGTCTCCTTTTGTGAAAAGGGCGACGACCTTCAGATATCAATCATTGAACTGACAAGCCCTAGGGGATTCAGAATTTGAGTATTTCACTGATCTGCTTCCAGTGGGGTTAGAACTCGGGTCTGCATTTCAACAGTTCAGGGCTGTACCAACTGAGCTAGGCCAGTTGATAATCTCTCCACACCTGCCTGCTCTCGCCTTTCACTACATGTATAAAAATCGGTATTTGGCGGCCTGTGGCCAGCAGCCGGTCTGGGCCCTCAGTTTCCTTGACGCACGACGGTCCAGATTGGCTGATGATCGTTTTCAATGTCATCCACTCGCAGTCTGGACCGTCGTCGGAGTTGTACCGCACGGCCCAGATTGCGAGTTGATCGTTTTCGAGACGATCGCTGGGTCGGTAGGCCCTGGCCCGGTAGTGCCGCGCGGGGTACTACGGGGCCAGGGCCTACCAGCCCTGCACAAATTTCAACTTCCGAGGCCCCTGAATTGCCGCACTTGGCCAGAAGCCCTGGGGTTTGTAACTACGTTTTAGGGAGGCGGCCACAAATTTGCATTCCCCAGGCCCCAGTAGTGCGGCACAGGGCCACATAACAAACTTTTTTGGGGAAGGCGGCCAAACGGCTAATCCGGTTGACGGCTGCCTACGCATGCCTACGCATGACTTCGATGCTACTCATAATGCGACTTCGACTCTCTACGACGCTACTCTACGCACCTGTGCTCAACTTCGACTCTCTACGACGCTACTCTACACTACTGCTTTCGACTTCGACTCTCTATGACGCTAGCTCGACTTCGACTCTCTTCGACTCTCTACGCTCAACTTTGCTACTCTCTCTCTCTCTCTCTGTCTGATAGGTAGGGGGGGCGAGGAAGGCGGGCGCAACCTGTTTTTGTCCCCTTTGCGCTCAACGCTCGACTTCGATGCTATTTGGACTTTGCTCTACATACACACACACACACAGAGACACACACGCGTGCGCACATGCACACACACACACATATGCGCGCGCACACATGTGGTGAGTCCTTGGCCATCAGTACAATGCGTCTGTGTGTGTGTGCGTTTGTGTGTGTGTGTGTGTGTGTGTGTGTGTGT